ACTCACGTTCCTTAATAAACTTGACCTCCTTCACTGTGAAATTGGAAACATAGCCTTTTCCTGATGACCAGATGGCCCAGCAAATTTAATCACTTCAAGCCTTCCATGTTTCCTCTCCACTACCTTCCATGGTGAGGAAATCAAGAGGCAAACTCCTTATTCCTCCCAGATGCCAACCACTCTTGAGGAATGAATTGGTTCATTATTTAAAAAAAAAAAAAACAGATTCAGCATTGGGAATTAAGACCGAATTGGGAATTCATGTTAATTTGTGCTGTGTATCTTTCAGGTCATTCAAATCTAATATTGTTTTGAGAACACAATTCAGGTTGTTTCCTGAATCTGTGTCGCCCGTGCTGCAGCTTCTTTTTTTTTTTTCAAATAAATGCGTATTAATCCTAGAAAAAAATCTGATTTTGTTCTGAAAATTTGGAATTTTATTACATAGCTCTTTTGAGGCTTTGTGGTGAGTTTGAGGAAAAGTTTTTTACAATACAATATACAGTTTAGATGTTAATATTTGGTCATATAAATCTGACTCTTGGACGTAGATTCCAAAGCTTGTTTTTATGGAAGGGAGCATGTTTGTAGGTAAGGCTGTTAGAAATCAGAGTAACGGCACATAACTTCTTTCTCTGCATTGTAAGGTCATGATGTGTGAGGGAAGTGGCAACAGACTGGGAGAGAGATGTCTCTGACAATCATGATCTCAGTAAGTCCCTGAAATCTCTGAGCCTCAGATTTATTCATTTGGAAATTAAAGAACCTAGACTAATAATATTTTCACTCCTTTGTAAGTCATCCTTAACATATGTAAATTTATATGAGGTGAGTTGATTCCATCTTATTATTCAATGAATTCAGATGCGTTTTTAAAGAGGCAGAGAGGAATTTGACTTTTCAACCATAGAGAGTGCATCCTATTATCAAGACTAAGTTAAAATAATTCTCCAGAAGCTTATGCTGTCAAATAACTCAGAATGTTATTTGTGAGGATTAAATGACATACCCCATGTAAAATTCTTACTGTATCTTTGGCTCCTGGGTTGCGTTGAATAAATGTTCATTATTATCACTTCTACCACTTTTATTATTATTGTTCCTTTCCACTTGTAACATTCCTCCTATCCGTTCTTCTCTTTACTTCTTGCCATATAGAAGTAAGTACTGGAGGCCGTTAAGTTTAATAATTTTAGAAAAATATCAAGTCCACCTAACATCTTCACAAAACGTGACTTGGGCCCTGCTTCCTGTCTTCTTAGTAAGGACTAGAAGACCCCATAGGCATTTATTCTATAGGAGCTCTGCTTGGATCTGCTTTTTATATAGACTATCACTGTTTTAAAATCCCTAGTCTCCTTTTCACTAAAGTTTGGAATCAAATTTTTATTACCTGTGTCTACTAGTATATTTTATGTTCACTTGTTATAGCACTTTGCTGCGCTAGTGGCTTCAAAAATAAAATGGACTCATTAACTTAGGCACAACCTGAAACAGCAATGGATTTTGAGAAAAATGAGGTCTTTTGACATTTTTTCTTAGTAGCAACGCTTCAAAGAACTTTAATAACATTATGGAAGGAGTCCAGCGTTTGAAATACATCATCCCTACGACAGAGCAATAGCACTGTTATTCATCTTCACTTTTGTTCTCAGGGTTGGAACTGAAGAAAAATATAACAACACATTTCTTTTTCAGTCCCCAGAGTTATCCTCAGATTTGTCTCATTAATTAGAAGCTGCAAAACAAATTTCGGGAAATAATTTTCAAAGAATAAAAGAAGAATTAACCTCTGATTTTCTCTGGTCAAATCAATTTTCAGAATGCTCCTTTATCTTTTCTACACACATGCCCATCTTTTTCTGACACGATGATTGAAAAGTTTAAAATATATCAACAAATCTTACCATACCATAATGATATTGTTGAAAGCCAAGTTTTGCCTGGCTGTCAAGAATACATTACTTGACTTCAACTTTAATTAATTTAATTTGGAAAAATGTGAGCTTTTC